TCCCTCAGTTAAAAACAGGCCTTAGGTCTGAAAACACCATGAAGGGCAGAATGTGGCACATGAACCCATCCCCAAAAATAACTTTTTTTCTTCTCACTTGAAATTGAAGGGTATTGCAGCTGTTACTCTGCACCAACATGCTCTGTATGGCTCATAAAAAACACAGAGGATCATGGGAATCTGTGTGGTTCTCAAACGTAAATACAAAAATACAACCGTAGCAGCAGGGTCTGCAGTCAAAACGCACGCTCTGATATTTACACGAGGTCAGTGCTTTCATTATGACTGACACTGTGTGGTATGTTCGCCTTGCTAGGCTTCTTTTGTTTGATACCACTTCCTCTGCTCCCACATATGTCTGACCATATTTGTATTAAACATCATGTTCCTCCGCTCACCTCTTCAGCTGGCGTCTCACTACACCTGACAGCTAGTATTTCCTGGGTTTTCCGGAGGCAGCGTTCGCCAAGGAAAAAAACTTTCTGCCGCTGTCGTCCTTCTTTGTGCTCCTTTCTTCTCTCCTTTCTCCAACACTCGTCATGCTCTGCTGCCTGATTTTCCAATCTGTCTTCCTTCCACGCTCCCCCTCACATCATGCCTTCTCACACTTAGTGGGTGAGCTCATTCCTCCGCTGTTGCTGCATCTACCTCCTTCCATATGATCAAATTTCTAAGTGGAAGTTGCCCACAGGATGTGGATGTGACAGTACTGATTCTTGCTGGTGTCAACATGAGCTGTCTAGAGTTGTTGCTATGTGACAGCGGGGTATCGGCTGTTTGGTGGCTGCACCATGCATGGAAAATAACTTTCCTATGAGTCAGTCGGTGCATTGTAATGATTTTTATTCGATTGCGACCATTTCCTTCCTGTGTCCCTGGAGCCTTCTGTGATGTCAACATTGCAGGGGGAAACTGACCTAAGAATATTATCCACAGGGCAACACAGCCTATTAGGAATTTGGTGAGTAACACCTCTCCGGGGATTTAGGGATGCTCAGCCGTCCTCACTGACCCCTGTAGTTCTGTGGGTCAGGTATACACAGTCATACACTCCCGCTGGAAGGCACCGCTGGAAGAGCCTGCAGTTACTCCTCGGCATATAGGTGTGTCTAGAGAGCTGATGAACCTCAATGGATTTCCTCCATGTGCAGCTCTCCACAGCGAATGAATCACACAGTGTGTCAGAGAATGGGGGCAAACGGAATCTTCAGGGGATTATTATTCTGATTCATGCACAGCTGTGCTTTAGGCTTAACAGAATCCCCTGTTTGGAGTAAGAGCGGTGAGCAAATGTATTAAGAAACTGTACCAAAGAGAAAAGGACTAGTGCAAACGCTGCAAACGCTGCAAACGCTGCATGTGTTTGGCAGGTGGACACGAACAAAAACTTTTTTTCAACAGCATGGTGTACTTGGTCGAGTGGTGGAAACAAGAGAAAGGTTGTCATACAAAGAGGAATGCTCAAGTGTTGTAACAAAGAATAAAGTCGATGTTATCACTGAACCCAGACACATACATACACATAAGCTCGAGGACTGGAATATATAAGCTTGTGGGTGCAGCCACATTCTGGAACTGTGAACCACGGTTTCTGAGATGAGATGTCTCTGTGTGAAAAATACATTTCCAAGTTGTGGGGGCTCATTTGGGCAGGCAGTAAGAAGGAGAGATTTAGAATAGTGCGTGTGTCTCTGTGTGAATCCATGTGTGCACTGCTACTGCCTGCGAGCAGGGGAATAAAGGTTAAATCGAACACTTCTGTCAGTGTCTTGCATCCAGCTGCAAGCATTCCTCTCACCGCCCCGGATTCCTACATGGAGTTGCACAATCCCGCTGTCGCACCCCCTGGTAATTTAGGAAGAACAATGAATAATGAACCTCTTCCGTCTTTCATTGTGTAATTTATTATAACGGCGCTAATCTGCAAGTAAGGAATTTGTCTCAAGAGCACACAACACTGTGTGGGCCATAATCAATTCTGTGGTCCATTTGATTAACCTTGGCCTAAAACGTGGAATATAATCCCGTATCATTTCAAAGTGAAAACCCTCCTCAACCTTTAAACATGCACATCATTTCTGCCTCAAGGACAAAGCATTAACCCCAGCGTGATGGCGTCGCTTAATGGCCTGTCCTATGTGTGCACTTGTGTTGAGTGTGTGACTAGTGCGAGATACACAAAGAAAATTGGTAATCAGGCAGCAACGGTAATCAATAAAACCATGATTAGCTTTCTGCTCGTCTTGAGGAGATAACCAACGGATGAAATCTGACAACCTTCCCTAAGCAGCCAGCTGCAGTTTTAATTATGCCTTGCAATAATGCATGACATAATGCATTATTAAGGCTCCATTGTTTAAAGCTAATTGGCGGCAGTTGAATGCAACATGTTTCGAAATGGTTATTTTCATTTTTTAGCTTTAACATCTTTAAGGCTTGCGGTGAATATAGTCAAGTATATACAGTAAGGCGTATTTCACACCTCCCTGAGAACACTTGCTATCACCTCAAGCTTCATGAAGATGAGTGACAGCTCTGCCCATATAAACCTAACACATTCACCATGGCAGACGAATCAAACAGAGAAGAAACCCTTTGACAATCCGGTCTCTACTCCCCTCTTCTTATCAGCTTACAGTGCACTGGAGTTGCCATTAGAAACCAGTCAGTTGTGGGTGGGTGTGGTATACACAAACCGCCCGTTTATATCAATGAATCTCTTCCTAACAGGACACCACTGTGCATGTCCAGGTAATTTAATATGTAACTACTGTATGAAAGCAGGTATTCATAGAACTCTGTCCATTATGCCGTAGAGTCTGCAGTCCACTGCTAGTATTACAGCAGGTGTTTGGTGATCATGGAGTCACGTAGAGTCTAGCCATTGTGTAGAAGTCCACTGTTGTTGCTGTGGAAAAAATTAAGACGTGCATTCATTTATATTTACTCAGTTTTTACCTTAACTGTTTACCTTAAAAGTGTCTCGTGAAGAAGTGCATTGCACTTGTGATGATTGTGATCCCGAGTCTAAATCGTCTGGCTGCAGCATCATTACACCTCTGACTGTGTTGGAACATACATTATGTCCACATACACAGTACTTGTTTGCTTGTAACAGAAGAGTTTTATGTTGTAATATAGATTTACCCATAATGCAGTCTGACATAATGGCAGTGACCAGTGTTTTCAATTTATTTATGTTGTGGCATTGTAATGCAAACATGCTATTTCCGGTGCATGCTTGACGGGCTTCATCTGCATAATACTGAGTCCAGTGGATTCATCTCTCCACCTCCTCCACCTCCATCCAACTCTGTTTACCTTGAATGATAATTCGGGAGGAAACACATTAGTATCGCAGCACGTACAGTAGAGTTGCCCTCTCACTTGCACGCCTCCCCCTTCTCCCCCTTCTCCCCCAACAACCACACGCCTCCCCATCCAATTTACCAGCATGCGATGCATTTGGATTCCTGGGGGTGTAGCCTCTCTACATGCTTCTCACATGACTGCGCTGCATATTAGAACCCCGCTCCGAAGCCAATGGGACTTCTGGGTTAGAATGACGTCATGGGGGTGGATCGGTATGCCCGTGTATGTGTATGTGTGTCAGGCAGCTCGATGCTTCTGTACAGACGCAGAGAAGCCAGTGCTGGTGTGTGTGTGCGCAGCTCCCTCACTCCCTCCCACCCTCGGCACTCAATGGACTAGATTCCCAGCCACGTAAGAAGC